CACATCTTCTCACTGCTGTGACCTTTTTACTCCCATAAAACCCTCACTGCTTCAACAGAGATTTATTACACTTATTTTAGCCGTTGTTGCTTTAAAGATATTAAATCTTCTTTTTCTGTCTTCAATGCATGTCTACAATTCTACTATTTTTAAATCAAAAGTGTAGTACTAGCTTGGAGAGTTTAAAAATGGCTCTACAGCTGCAGGCTTTTTGATTGGGAATCCGTCTCTCCCTCCCTTTCAAATTCACTTACTGCAAGTCACTTCGGATTAGAGCCTCAGCCGAATGAAAAATGCAATGCATTGATTTAGATGCCTCTGCATATCTTCATCTGCCCCTAGAGTATTTACCCATTGTTTTAAAAAAATTCCTTTCTCAAACGGCCTTGTTTCCAACCGATTTGATGAGCAATTAATTTATAAAAATTGAAATCTCCGACATAACTGATTATTGACCCCCATAGTCAAATCATGAAAAATGAACACCAATATTGCCTTCATGTCCCCGTTCAATGTTCTATTTGAGTTTTTGCTCGTAGGTCTCACCCTCATGGTGTTGTATTCCCCTATGTATTCCACATTTCAACTTCCTTTTCTCTTTCATAACATAACATTTCAACTTCCTTTTCTCTTTCTCTTTGCTTACTTCCCTATTCCTTTCCCATCAAAATAAACCATCCGATGGCCTCACTGAAGGCCTCCAACATTACAGTCAATTTGCTGACCTTCGTAACTACTTTCACAAGTGGACCAGCATTCGCAGTATCAGTCACTAAAACCTACAGTTTCAAACAATGTATCAGAATTTGAACCTCAAACCCCAGTGATATAAACAAAAAGTTCTCCAAACACTTGTGGGTCATAAAACAACAATGAATATTGTGAGTCCCTGGATCCCAAGAAGTACCAGGAGATAATAAATCAACTTAGCATCAGACCCATCTGTTCCAGACCCCCACATCAGTGTTAATCTGCACTTTTACTGCTCTTCAGCCCAAAAGCAAAGCGGAGGGTGGGAGACATGTCTGTTACTTGCTAACACAAACTCAGCTCATGCTTAGTATGATCCAATCCATTCATTCATCACTGATAGATCACCAACCTCTCATGGTCATCGTATCCAAACGTAAGCGTGTATTACTTGTTGAACATTACAGGATGACCGTCTAACAAGTTTCCATATTTTGTGTACTGGTGCTATCAATGTTCCTTTTATCAGACATTTGCTTCCATCATCAAGACACTGTATCAAGTGTATCGTGCACCATACACTCAATAAGCAGCACTCAACTTTAGTTTAGGAGAAGACTCAAAAAAAAAACTACAAACATTAATAGAAAAAACTGACACTATATACTACAATTCTCCTTATTTCTCATCACCTTCATTCCTCATCTTTTAATTTTCAATGACTGTTTCCCCTCATTTCAGTAAATCAATCTTTCCTACGGGTTTAAGTCTAATTTCAGTTGACACTCTCAGTAGTCTATAATCTCTGCTCTGCCTTGTCCCACAATATGTGCGTCAGTGACACTCTGTCTGCCAAACTAACGCCTTTCTCCTCTAACAACTTTCTCACCGTGTGTCCCGTGTGATACACAACATCATGGTTCTTTTTCTCAGTGGTATCTCCGCTCACCGCCACCAACAACAGCCTCTGTTGGTCATTTATTATTTTCCATCGATACCCCGGCGCTGGCTCCCAGCCGCCGTCCTCTGCTTCGCCATCAAATTCACCTTCCATTTAAAAGCAGTCAACCAGTTTGTATGTATTTTACCGGAGCAGACAGCTATGTTCTGAAAGTTTATACTAACCTTTCAGAGAAAATGTTTGTGTCTGCGAGCTTATGTTAGTCTCGCAGAATTAATTTATGCCAAAAGTTTATACTAACCTTCCGGAGTTAATGCGTCTGTGAGTTTATGTTAACCTCTCAGACTCAATTATTAAAGCCACAAGTTTATGTTTCAACCTTGCGGTCTGTCTGCGTTCTCAATTCCTTAGAACATACTTCCAAAACGTATTTCTTAAAGTGTATTTCTCAACACATTTTATTTATTTATTTAATCACTCCTCTCTCTCCCCCTCCACACTCCGCACCTCTCCAAGGGCTGCACATGTCTCGGAATCGAACATACGGTTTTTAAGGAACTCTAACCCTGGGTGACCAGCCCGCAGACCTTCGGGGGTCCGCAGATCCCCAGGAGCCCACACCTAGCAAAATCAGCCCTCGTCAGGGTCTGAGGGGGTTGCCAAACCAGAGACCTGGGAGTACGTCGCGTTCAGCAGGTGTAAGCGTTTTAGATCGAATTCGCCTGTGCACGAAAACCTCTTATCCCGGACGAGCCCCCAGACTGTCAGGATCTCCGATCCCCCCGAGTTGGTTGATGAGAAGGATCGCCACACGTTGATCAATTAAAGTCAAAAAGTTAACATTTATTTAGAAGAGAAAAAGATTACATGAGCAATTCCCCGCAGATATCTGTCTAACTATTGCTTGCAAACAGGAGGTCCAACACACCAGCACGTATTCCAGCTTTCTGTGTAATGGCGTCGCCGAGCAGTAAAAATGCTGATTTTTATACACTTGAAGACAGTTGATGTTTTGCATGCATCTCACAACCTCAACATCGGAGAGGAGAGACCATACCACCGCTCCAACAGATCTGCCTTAGGCACATTGAGTAAACAGGGGTTTTATCTAATAGACATATTGCACTCTATTCATTCCAATGGAGCATGAGCGTACATTTTAATCAACAATTAATTGCAGCGTATTCTTCAAATATTCTGAAAAAATTTGCGTGTGTTCAGGGGGTCAATGTTCACATGTGTTACAAGTTTGGTGAGGGCAGGCCAAACCATTTGGAAGTTACGAGTCTTGCCAGATTAAGCCACACCCCTTGCGAAGTTCATTAGCGCATAACTTCTTAAAACAATGAGATATCAACACGACCCCAATGGGGGACAGGGGGGCATTGACCCTATAATGATCCACAGAACATTTCGTGAGAATCGGACATAGCGTTTAGGAGAAATGGCCAAAAACGTGTTTTCACAAAATTCAAAATAGCGGAAAATCTAGTTAGGCGCATTTGCACACCATGACTTCTTTGTAGAGCATGTCCAACAGCACATGTGTGCCAAATTTCAAGTCAATCGCTGGCCACACTCAATAAGTATGTGAGATTACAAGGAGTTTGGCTCAGCTTCGCTGGCCACACTCAATAATAATAATATTAAGTATGTGAGATTACAAGGGGTTTGGCTCAGCTTCGCTGGCCACACTCAATAAGTATGTGAGATTACAAGGAATTTGGCTCAGCTTCGCTGGCCACACTCAATAAGTATGGGAGATTACAAGGAGTTATTTGAAGAACAATACTTGTTGGTATGCTTAAAAGCATTCCAACAATGAACCTCGATGTTAAAGTCTTGTAGAAGTAGAGACCAGCGCTTATGGCGTTGATTGTGGTTTTGCATACGAGACAGGAACACAAGGGGATTGTGGTCGGAATACACCCGGACCGGGGTCGGACTCGAACCAACATATACCTCAAAGTGTTGCATTGCCAGCAGCAACGCCAAAGCATTCTTTTCAATAGTGCTGTAATTCAGTTGATGTTTGTTAAATTTCTTCAAAAAATAATACACGAAATGATCAATACCACGATCATTTTCCTGCTAAAGAACAGCACCTGCCCCATGAGCACTGGCGTCTACCTGGATTTTAAAAGGGCGCACGACATCAGGTGCCGACAGAACAGGTGCGCTGCTAAGCAGAGATTTGACAGAATCGAATGACTCCTCACACACAGTAGCCCAAACTAATTGGCAGGAGGGGCTTAACAAACTAGTGAGACGCACCACCACACTGGCGAAGTTCTTAAAGAAACCGCGATAGTAACTGCACATCCCCAGGAATCAGTGAAGTTGCCGTCGCGTCCCAGGCACAGGAAAAATCCCGAATGGCCTGGATTTTTGCGGATAAAGGGCGCACCTGCCCCTGCCCTACTTGTTTCCCCATGTAGGTAACCACCGCCTTACCAAACTCACACTTAGCCAAATTTAACGTCAACAAGGCACCGCCCAAGCGACTGAATACCCCCCGTAGGTATCCAGATGCTCAGGCCACGTGGATGAATCACATACGATATCACAATTACGCCTCACAATTCTTAATCCCAGCTAAATCATTCCCGAGAATGAGATCGATACCTGTGATGGACAGCCGATCCCTCACGGCCACACGCACCGGGCCAGACACAAGGGCGGAGGAGAGTGTAACTGCATGAAGTGGCACACGCAAGACACTCTAGGTCCCTAAGGTGACCCTAATGACCTTAAGGTGCATAGCTTCCACCTCTAACTCACGATTTCTCAAATCCAGCTCGTTAACGTGGAGTGTCAGCTGGAGCTCCTCAGTCGACATCACCGGCGTAGCTTGAATATCTACTTTCTTTGGCCCCTCTGCAGTCAACAGCCCCCTTTCCCCTAGCTTCTCAGTCACGAGCTGTCTCAGTTCCTCTTTGTTTATGTTTACAGGCATTTGTATATCAAAAGTGTTTGCAATGAGCACCAAATCCACATTTGCTTAACTGCTGAAGTGTAGGATCAGCTACAAACGTGTCCAGATAGAAATCCATTTTTCACCCACACTATGTAACAAACCCAGGACGAAAAAGGAAAGACCGGACGAGCCCCCAATTATGTTACGCCCGGCCTAGGGGAGCCGGAGCATGACATACCAAAGAGTCTCCCCACCCCACCAAATTAGGACCAATGCTGCAGGTTATCGTACGACAACGGTTATTTATTGTGAGCATGGGGTTATAAGCTCTCTTCAGGATGCGCGTGGCCCAAAACAACAGAGAAAACAATTGGTGCACGTAACCTTACTTCCCGTAGACCACAAAAAGGAACAAACAAAAGTACAGGTATCTTACCTATCTCCCTACCCAGAAACAGGAGAAAACATGGTCAAACAAAAAGGGATTCTTACCTCTACCACTGCTGACCCCTTGCTACCCCCACCACCCAAAGATCTGTGCGATGCAGCATGGCCGGTTGGCTCCCACAGGATCCTTCTTATTCACCACCGGCCAATCACCTGCAAAGAAAAAGAGGCACAGAGCAAGGCAAAATATAACAGCACCCAGTGGCGGATTTAAGAAATTTGGGGCCCAAGGCAAAGGCAGGCATGGAGCCCTCTGAAATGAGAAGACAACACACAAAGCAGCAGATCAATTATACAGATATATACATTTTAACAGAAAACCCATGTATTATTTTTACCAGCAGGTTCTCTGATAGAATACTTAGATAGAATACTTAGAATAGATCACATACATCAAATTATTATTTTTTTGCCCAAAGACACTATGAAGGGAGAGACCAGGATTCGAACCGCCAAACCATTGATTATTGGACGACCCACTCCACTTGAGCCACCTGAGCCACTGCTGCCCACTGATTTCACTAGATTTCATGACTGTATGTGAGAGATGATTTACCTTGACACATCTCAAAAGGTGGGTAGCAGCAAGCCAGTAGAAGCTGTCATGAGAAGACAACACACAATACAGGTCAATTATACAGATACATTTTAAACCTAATACACAATTCCTGCCCCTTTTTCACATCATCTCTCTCCCTTTTTCTCTTCTGTCCCTTTTACACATCTTCCTGTCCCTTTTTCTTTGTATTTTCTCCCTTTTGTCCTTAAATTCTTATTTTGTGAGCGTTGGCCTCAGCAAATCTTGCAATGAGGAGATCCATATCCACTGACTTCCTGACTTCTTGCTTAATGGAGAGAACAGAAGTGGTCCTCTCTCCACTATTGAGCAGCGCGCACTATCCGACAGCTGTGGCCAGAGTGCTGGATCATTTTCTAGAAGTACAGTGGATGATGCTGGAGAGTTCTCACAGCCCATCCCTGTCTCATTCTGAAAACAAATACAAAACACAGTATAAGGCTTTTACCCAGTGGTGAAATGTACAGTGTATTTACTAATGTAGACATTTGAGTAATTCATGCAACTTCAGTTTTGTCTGCTCTGCTGTATCTTAGAGGCAAACGCTGTACTTTAAACTCCACTACAGTACTGTTACGCACCAGCTCCCTAGAAGGGAGGGGGCCGTTGACACGCCGCTGCTCAAGACCCAAGTGTATCACTAACAGGGGGCATGTGGGGGTCGTGGAGCAAATAGGACACAACAGTTTTACCGTGTATAGATTATTTTATTAGTCTCTAATCACACGGATTGCAGGGAGAAGGGCTGGGCAGAACCAAAGCAATGAAACAAACAAAAATACACAGGCTAGTTCCTATATATATAGTGCCGTAGCTTTGGCACGCTAACCAAAAATACAGGTGGTGGTCTGCCCAGGTCTAGCTAGTGTTCCTAGACAGAGACTCACTGCGGGTGATGTAGCTCCAGCCAGGTGCAGCCACTAACGATCCTGAGGTCCTCAGCCAATAGGGGGGGGGGGATAAATCCTGTCAATTAGATAGAAGGGAGATGCACACACACACAAGCAACCTCAACAAAAAATGCACATGGATGGTTACATATTTCAAACCTTTCCTGCCTCGTGAAAACCATGTAGCCTCCAAATTATGATTTAATGCTAATATTTGTGATAAACTGAAAGTCTTCCTTTGTGGGTTGACTTTTAAAGCAAAAACTCAGTACATGAATTCATTCAAAATTTGCTCAATCTTAAATATCTACAGCAGTAAATGATAACACGCAATAAAACGATATTAATATGAAGTAATAACACTGAGGGATCATTTTTTAATGCAGAGGGATAGTTTTTAATAGCTTACATAGATTCTTATGTTTTTAATGCACTTTACACATTCAGGACGAAATCACCCTTGGACAGTTTTGTTACTCACTCGACGTCGGTTGACCAGGTTGTGGGTTGCTGCTGCTGGCCGCTGCCGCAGGAGCAGTGAAGAAACGTGTCACTTTCTGCAACTTTGACGTAAATGTTTGGGTTTCTTCCTCTCCTTTTCAGCACCGCAGGGGTAGCTTCGCTTCCTCCCCCCCCCCGTCAACAAATGACTCGTCCGACATGAACGAATGACTCGAAAATATCATCATTTTAGTGAACGAGATTCAGAGAACCGATTCGGTAAAAAGATCCGAACGTCCCATCACTAGCCGTTTGGTTTTCGTTTTGCCGGTTTCTTGGATCCGTTCTGCACATGCGCAGTAAAGATGGACTGATCCAATGTAGTGGACACTGAAGGGGGGGCCTCGACACACACATAATACAATACGCATTCCGCTGGCATTTTAGCGAGAGAATTTTAATCATAAATATAATTAATATGTGCAAATAAGTAATAACTTTATTAACCATAAGTGTATGAGGATTTTTACTGGGCCCCTCAGGAACTTGGGGCCCTAGGCAACCGCCTAGTTTCGCATTATGGTAAGTCCGCCCCAGAGTGACACCTGCATATCAGTAACTAACATCCACACACTGTAGTCGAAGCTAGAGGAGCAATGTTGGGTTAAGTGTCTTGCCCAAGGACACAACGACATGCAGGCAGAGGTGTGAAGTAACGAAGTACAAATACTTCGTTACTGTACTTAAGTAGAAATTTTAGGTATCTTTACTTTACTCAAGTATTTATTTTTCTGCCAACTTTTTACTTTTACTCCTTACATTTTAATACAATTATCTGTACTTTCTACTCCTTACATTTTTAAAACAGGTACGTTACTCTTTGTTTACGGTTCCGTTTTTTTTTCAAATGTGCGCTATCCAATACAGATCAATGGCGCCATCCAGATATACTGATTTCGAGCGTAATTGGATGAAGCATAGAAGCCCATAACACTCATTGGCTATCTATCTTATTTGTGCACGACGCAAAACAAGAGGCGAACTAACGATACAAAGCGCGATCAAAGAGATTCGGTTGGTAACTCGTGAGATGGCTGAAGGCTCTGAAGACACAGAAGAACATCAGAACCTTCCACATCCCTGGCCCTACCTTGAAGAAGTGTTTGAATTCGTGGGGAGCAAAAAGGACTCATGGAGCATGCGGTGCAAACGTTGCGAACCCAAGAACCATGTACTCTTGGCGTTCAAGAACTCTCCGTCTAATTTAAAAAAACATATAGAGGTAAGCTCTGTATTATTATTATTATAATAATGGTCGATTTACAATGCTTGCTACAGCTTGGCTAGCATAGGAACATGCCAACGTGCCTTGGTTTGCTTGCTAGCAGTTGCAAGTTACGCTCGCCTAGTTAGCGCTCTGTGATGTTTGAAAAATAAGCTGTAGGCTCATTTACTACCATGATCTAAAATGTACTACACAGTAGTAAGCTAATATTAGGCTATTTAATATTCAGTTAATGTATCAGTGTTTCCCATAGGAAATGTGTTAGTAAAGGGTTGTGAATGCGATACTCATGACATGTCCAATTCTTTTCAATTCATCATCTTGTTTTAAAGCAGCATCAAAGAGGAATTGCTAATCGCTAACGGCTAGTAGTGTAAGCTATTGTTGCACAGGTGTTCCGGTTTGGGGGCTTTTGGCGGCTTGTGAAGGGGGAGATGGAAGGAGAGGAAGTTGAGGTGGTGTTCAACTGGGGGTGTTGTGAAAAGGTGATAAAAATAAATAAATAGTATAAATAGAGCCAGATATACTAAACTGTATAGCGGTTTGATAATGTGTCTTCTAAATGATCTAATGATTAAATATGCCTATTTTCACAGAGAAAACACCCTACTCATCTGGTGAGATATAAGACCCTTACTTCAAACGCCCTGAAAAGAAAGCCAGGAGCACCAGATGGAGGTCACCCACCCAAACAAGCTAAGTTATGGGAGACCAGAAGAGTGTCCCAGGCCAGTGTTGATAAAGAAGTCTTTCATTTTATCATACAAGGCCTGCACCCACCTAATGTGGTTGAGCAACAGGGTTTCATAGACCTTGTACAACACCCCCAGCCCAATATTAATGTGATGTCACGCAACACTGTTGTAAACCGAGTTGAGAGAGTTTCCCTGGAAATGAAAAACAATCTGAAAACTGCTCTAGCTGAACTTGAGTTCATTGCCACTACAACTGACTGCTGGACAGCGTACAGGCGTGGATTCATAGGTGTCACAGCACATTGGATAGACCCCCTGACTATGAAGAGATGTTGTGCTGCCCTAGCCTGCAAACAGCTTAAGGATCACATTCTTTTTCTGCCCTTGCCAGTGCTCTGAATGACATACACACTGAGTTTAACATCCGTGAAAAGATTACCCGCACCACAACTGATAATGGCTCTAATTTCTTAACAGCCTTTAGAGCAGTGGTTCTTAACCTTGTTGGAGGTACTGACCCCCACCAGTTTCATATGCGCATTCACCGAACCCTTCTTAATTGGAAAAATACAATTCAAAACATAGGTATATATTTTACTGGTGCACAAAATGAACCGTGCAAGAGGCTTACAAAATAAAAAATCTTCCTTTATCACGTTGTCTTTCACATAGCGCACAAATACAGCAAGCTGGCTTAGATTGGAAACGTCTGTGGTCTCGTCCAGTTGAAGGCTGAATTTTGCCGGGCTTGAAATCAGATCTGCAACTACTTGAGCCAAGATGTCTTTGCTCATGTCCTCTATTCTGTCGCTAATGGTGTCATTTGAAAGAGGAATTTGGGATAACTGAACTTCAGCCGCTTTTTCCAGCATGATATTCGCCATCTTCAACACAGCTGGTTTTATGAGTGTTTCACCAATGGTGTGTGGTTTGCCCTGCTTTGCGATCAGGTAAGCAACTTCGTACGATGCTGTGAGGATCGGTTTGTTGATGGGTACAAAGCCGAGAACAGGCAGAGTAGCCTTTTCATCGAATCTGGCTCTCTTCACCTTGAATTCAGCGAGCGTTGTGTTCTTGTATTGTCCATCTCCATGCAGCTTAAGGAAGTGTTCTCTTAGTTTTGCCGGTGCTAGACTAGAATTGCTCAACTTGGCATTGCAAATCATGCAGTTAGGACGCTGACTCCCATCACGTTCCGTTATACATGTGAATCCATATTGTACATATTCGTCCGACCACTTTCTTTTTTTGCTCGACATAGTTAGTATGAAGGGATTAAAATATTAAGAAAGAAATGACACGACGTACCATCACGATAGTCACAATTTGACTACTGAGCGCGCCAAATTCCCTGCAGCACAGATAGGCCAAGCGATGTTGCGTGATCACCTGCAGCCAATGATGGCCAAGCGGGGCATGTAATCACAAATCATATGAGTCGGGTGTGTGTCTTGACCTCCGCCGAACCCCTGAGACTGACTCACCGAACCCCTGGGGTTCGATCGAACCCAAGTTAAGAACCACTGCTTTAGAGTGTATGGTCAGACCGACGAAAATAAGAACAATCCAGCACCTACAGAAGAGAGTGGTGAAGTTGATGATGGTGATAAGAATGATGAAGAAGACCAGGATAGCACTGAGAGTGTGGAGTTTGTTGAAGCTGGGGCCGTATTGGATGAAGACGACTGCCTGGAATATCAGCTTCCAAAACACCATCGTTGCGCTTGCCACCTTCTCAACTTGGTTTCAACAATTGATGCTGAGGAGGCAAATGTGAGCACAGTCTACAAGCGGGTCTCACGCTCAACGTTTTCAAAGTGCTGGAGTCTTTGGAACAAAAGCGCAAGATCCACCACAGCAGCTGAGATCATTGAAGAGAATTGCAAACTCCAGCTCTTGAGGCCAAATGCAACAAGGTGGAACTCACTCTTTGTAGCAGTGGAGAGGATTGTGAGGATTGCAAGGGAACAAGGAGAAGGGGCCATTGCAGCTGTTTGCAGTGCACTAAAGATACCCATGTATGTACCTGCCCCTTTTCATTTTTAAAGCTGAACTATATATTTTTTCACTTTGAATTGAAAAGCTATAAAACAGTATATTTACTAACCCTCTGCACAGATTATTAGCATTAGCATGTTATTGAATTGAAGATGTAAATATGAAATGTTTTAGTTTTTTATTTGTTGTTTTAACAAGTTCACTCCTGTCGGGCTTGCATTTCTGGCAGAATATGCAAAGACTATGAGACCAGTTGCAAAGGCCCTTGATGTTCTTCAGGGAGAGACAGATGTGCAAATGGGGTGGTTGGTCTCTACAATAACACTACTCAAGGTTAAGCTTCAGCAGTTCTGCATTTCCTCCAAGTTCTGTGGGCCTTTGATTGATGCACTTCCAGGAGGCCTTGAAAAATGATTTGGACAGATCCTCACAGATCCAGAGCTGGTCGCCGCAGCTATTCTAGTCCCCAAATTCAAGACATGCTGGACAAGTGACGAATGCGTCCTAAAACTTGGTAAGTGTTCCACTGTTTGCTTTATGCTAGTAGCAAATAGAGGAAATTCCTGCATTTAAAGTATCTCTAACATACAATTACTGAGAAAATCAAAAGCAAACCAAATGGCAATATTTGTAGGCCATATAAAGTTCAAATGGTCCTATTTTTGTTTTTCTATTCCATAGGCCTTGACTATATCAAAAGTCACTTGAAAGACCAAGCTGTGGAGAATCAAGGAGATATCTCCCATTCTTCAGAGGAGGAGGACTTCTTTTCTGCAATCAAACAGACCAATTCCCAAGAAAATGCCAAACAGCTCGAGGCTTACCTTGGATGCCGAGGTGATACAGTAGATATACTTAAGTCTTTCCCGGCAGTATGCAACCTTTCATTGCGGCTTAACACCGCCCTCCCAGCCTCAGCAGCCTGCGAGAGACTGTTTAGTGCAGCAGGACTGATCTTCAGACCAAAGAGGGCACGTATTGGTTCCAAGAACTTTGAAAATCAGCTTCTTTTGAGGCTAAACAGAAGGTTCTGGTAATTGTTTAGGGTATGCCATTGTACTCTTTCTGTCCTACACAAAATACTGACGTACACTCTCTCTCACACCCAGACCGAAAAAGCTCCTGTGACACCAATGGTGTTGGTAGTGTAATAGTTTATGTCCAGTTTTACTGCCCAGTTTTTGAAGGAAATTTTTGACACGTATACTTCTCACTCTCACTCACTCCTCCCTTTCTTTCTTTCTCTCTCTTACTCACACACACTGATATTCTTCGCAGTCTATTTATTTCCTCCACACACACTGACAAGCACACTCCTTGGTAATGTCCTGGTAGTTTTTCAGGCCAGGGTATGTCTTGAATATTACTACCTCAGTTTGGAGGTCTATTTAAATTCCAATAAAGTTTGAGAAAAACATGTTTGTGGACGGCATGATTATATTTTTGCATGACATTTTTTACCATGTCTTGGGATCCTTGCAACACCAATCAGGTTTTAATTAAGCTTCTATTTCTTACAGTCGTGTCAATTATATGAGGCCCAACTTGTCTAGCTTTAAATGTTTTATTTTATTAAGGTTACTTTTTACTTTTATACTTTAAGTAGATTTTAGAGCCTGTAGTTTTTTACTTTTACTTGAGTAAAGAGGTTAAGTTGATACTTCAACTTTTACCGGAGTCTTTTTAAACTCCAGTATCTATACTTCTACTTGAGTGACAAATGTGTTTACTTTTGACACCACTGCATGCGGGTTAGCCAGGCCTGGGATCAAACCGACAACCCTCGGATTGGAGGACAACCGTGCTCCCCACTCACCCACAGTCGCTTCTTGTGTATTCACGGACTAACCCATCATTGTGCGCATGTATGGTTACATGGAAACATGAACTTACTATCTGGTTTTCCATTTGAGAACTACTTAGGGACCGTTTGTCTCAGGTTATTCAAAGACTGTCAGAATTGACAAAAAGCAGGAAAAGGGGACTTTACGTAGAGAGCACACTGATGGCCCTGTACCCTGTAAAAAATGTGTCACAATTTCAAAAGCTAGTCATAGGGCCTTCAACAGTCAGAAAACTGTGTGAAAATAGGCAACAGCATCGCTTTAGTGATGAATATTGTTTTGTCTGATGACAGTGTAACGGAGTTATAAATACACTGTCATTTTCAAAGTATTGTATTTTATTTTTTGGTTATTATTCAACAATCTTGTTGAACGTGTGTGTGTGAATTTTATTTTGATGAGTCAAATTTGCGGAAATTGCGATTCATCTCTCCTGCGCCTCCTAGGCTTCCGTAGTCCCGTTTTTCCTTGACAGAAGTGTTACACTGTTGAAGGTAAGTTGAGAGAAAAACGACGTCGCACTATTTCGCTATGTTCTTAAATATAACTTAACATCAGCTACCATTAGCGTGGGTAACATGACCACGGTTCTCAGCTGTGGTGCGTCATTATTCTAGACGATGGAGTGGTGATAAAAGTATACGTTTGTTTAATTTCGCGCCGTTTGTACTCGCTACATCCGCTCGTCTTGACGTATACGTTCCCCTCCATAGACCCTGTGTGTAGGGAGCTGATGTGCGGAGACCAGAAGGCAATGTCTGTGTTTTATTGTCTTCTGCAGGAATGTGTTTTCCTTTGTTTTAATGCTGGAATTCTTGCAGTTGTCACTGTTATTTATTTTGTTCACTTGGGGTTGTTCTCCCCTTTTTGTCACAATTTGTATCTTTGACAAGCTATAATTTAGATTTTGCGATAGTCACGTTTTTACTACACAGTAGCGTTACACTGTTGAAGACCCTGTGTGTAGGGAGCTGATGTGCGGAGACCAGAAGGCAATGTCTGTGTTTTATTGTCTTCTGCAGGACCAAATAAATGCTGAAAAGATCAGTACCTGAGTCGACTACTTCCATGCCCTAAACACATCTGTTACAACAGCACATATGTAGTTTGCAGAGAATATGAGAAACATGACCCTTTCTTTGATTACCCCATAAACTCTACTGATTTTAGGATCTTTGTTGTCAGTAATTTGTCAAAAGATGTTAAAACTAAAAAACTTGATGACAAAATAGTTAAATATGCCAAGTTACCATACAATGGTAAATTCATAGCTATTCCTCTCTTGCACACAAGTAGATAAAAGGAAGTTGATTATGGAGTGAATAGTAAAATTGGCGTGAAATATTATATAACACTTCTTAAACACTTGAATCTGAATTGTTTTTTTGTCATTTTCATTACAAAACTTTATTCACTATATATATTCAGTATGTTTCTGGCAGAAAAGCATGTTTAAGATAGTCGAGCTTTTGGAGACCAGTGAGGTAGAGTTGGTACCAGGTGCTTGCCTCCAAGATGGCGCCGATGATGGCAGCCACGTTGCTTCAGTGCGCTTCATTTTTTGTTGTTTTTGTTTTTAATTATGTTTTCTGTTGCGATTCCCGGGGCTCTTTCACCAGAGATGAGCTCTTGAACATCCGAGGAACTATTCTCTAATTTTATACTAACCCATAGCATTAGCATTTTATTTTATTTTATTACTTGTGCACTGCTGTCTTGTTGTCTATTGTTACACTGTCTACTGTCACGCACCAACCGCCAAGTCAAATCCTTTGTATGTATGTAGAGGAACAGCTTGCAGACTCCATGTCCCAATCAGTGGCTCCAACAGTTTGAATATAAGTGCTTATTCAACACGTGTCTTGATTATGTTTATGTTTTAATTGACAAAATATGGTCATTCTTAATTTTCCTTATGACATTATTTTATAACATCCTCAACATGTTTGTCATGTGAACTAAAGCTTTTCAGGTACCTGCAAGTTGACTTAAATTTTTTTTTTAATCTCATGCTGTCTGTAATTTTACAAAAATGTAGGCTTTGTTTTGAATGACAAGTTATGTTAAAACATCTTTAAGCTTTCATTTGGAGTAAAGTTAAGTAAAGTCCTCTATCTGCTATGTTATTACTCAGATCGTCATGTGTAAGTTGCGTTTCACCTCCCTGCCTGAGGCGGGGGTGCTGTATGATTCTCCTGTCATCAGTGTATGAATGGGTGTGAATGGGTGAATGATGTTGTGTAGTGTTAAAGCTCTTTGAGTGGTTAGAAAACTAGAAAAGCGCTATGCAAGTACAGTCCATTTACCATTTACCATTACCACTTACCATGGTCAAAATCATTTAAGGCCAGACACAATGTTGAACTTGACAAGATGAAAATGGACACAGATAGCTGCATAACATTCTGATATAATGTAACCGCAAGCACATGGAGGACCACAGGACCAGTGTACAATGAAAACTGCCTTTGCTCTGTTGCCTTCCACCTTTGAATCTCTGATAAATGTCTCGGTTTTGGAGCAAAGTCAACTGGAATTGGAAGCAGATTAGTGCATTTGAAATCAGTTTACTCTAACGAGGAGAAATTTGACAATGAACAGGTCCTGACATGTGCCACAGCTCTAAAAGTTTTCTCATGACACCAAGACAAACTAGATGCATATAATCATGGTGAAACAATGTTATCATCCCAATATTTAAACCAGTCAAGGATGAAACTGCAGTGTGGTGTCCTTCATCAGCGGACTGATGAAGCATGAATCAGTTCTGCAAGGAGAATTGACCTCTGGGAAGGTCATCCTATTGTTGATCCAAACCCCTGTTTGAATGCATTAATCGCATCCTTGATATCGAGTGTGGGACTTAATCCCCTTAAAAAAAGCTCGAGCCAGAGCATCACAAATAAATCTCTGAAGTAGTCACTTCGTGAGGATGGCTTTGAGGTCCCACAAAAGATGGCAATAACAACAGATTCTTTTGTATGACCCTGAAGTAAACCCAAAATAGGCCAGAACTGAATTTTTGAACTTTTGAAAAGTCGTAATCCATCAGTCTAAACACATCCACGTCCATCTGGAACCTTAGACCAAACTCTTTCAAAGATTTTACTGAGTGATTCTAGTATTCCAAAGAAAAAGTATTTACCACCACCAAAGAAAAAGTATTTACCACCACCTAAACTTTGAACATTATATACAGTTTTGGTTGTGAGAAGAGTTCTAGCATCCTTGGGGAGCAAAGGATGATACATTTTTTAAGATAGTCAGGAGTGCAGTCATAGCAACCAAAGAAACATGAAATTTCACAGCCCAGTCACACAAAGTAGTATTTAAGTAACTCTCAGTATTGCCATCCAAGATATATGATTGGCCATATGCATCTGATTCTCCATCATCAGATTTCAGCATCATCAGCATTTATGTTCACGTCACCGGTCTGGCCATCTGAAGATGATTCTGCATCCAATTGATAAACCTGACCTATAACCTCTGCAGCCTCAACATCTCCTTCACCCTGAAAAGAAACCTTCATTGCTTTGATTTTTTTTTACAGCTCGCTTTCTCACTTGTCTTCTACCCATTTTTATAGTTGTAATCGCTGTCACTAAAAACTTAAAATTTACGAAATTGCTAAACGTAAATAAATAAAATGTATTATTATTAAACGTGATAGTACCTTGAAGACGGTAGTGCAAGTAGCAGAAAAGGACAAGGGGATCTGTGAAGACAATACACATTCACATTTGTTTAAAATGTATGACAAAAATACACTTTTATATGAAGTACTGTGATTTTTTTAGCCTGCTTGCAGAGTTGCACAATTAGCGACTTTTACACATATATCTAACTATACATGTACAACTTTAAATGAAATACTGACTATCTGTAAACTATTATTTTACATTCATATTTACACTACCTGCATTTTATTTTCTGTAAGTGATCACTGTTGAAATATAATAAAATAATCGTATTCCTCCTAATTGGAGAGCCAAACTAACTAATGTTGCGGTTCACTCCTCCATGGAGCAGAAAACCGGTACGCTTTTAAGGTCCAGTGATATTTACTCCTTGTACATTCCACAACTGTGGACTGAATTGTGGAAATCTATCTATCTATCTATCTATCTATCTATCTTTTAATGTTTTCCGACGTCTCCAAATGGACAGACAACAAAAACCTATTGAACGGTGCCTCTTGCTTTTGACTATTTTTTATTTGTACTTCGTTTTTAACTTAATTTGTATTGTGGTTTCATTCATGTCATGTATTTGTATTTTATGGCTGTTTTTAACGACGTGTGCTGCCACCTTCTTGGCCATGTCGCCCTTGAAAATGAGATCTCGATCTCAGTGGGACTTTTACCTGGTTAAATAAAGATTGAAAAAAGAAAATAAAAGAAAACGTTAGCTAGCAAAAGTAGCTGCCGCTAATACAATTTCAGCTGAGGAAGAATATGGATCAAAAATGAAATTTCAACACAGCGCGCTCTACTAACAGACAACCCTTTGATTGTCGGTAATCAAATATATATTTTTAAGAAAGTTGTACTTACCAATAGTGGACGGAAAAACGATGAAGTGCACCGACTCCACGTCGAGGGTATTGAGGAGCACTTGGTATAATCAAAAGGGTCTCCCGTTGGTATCCTCCGAATGATTTCACACAATATTCTTTACTTTCTTTTACGACTGTGATTGACTTATTAAGAACTCATGGAATGAAAACAAGGTAAATAGACTATTTTGGACAAGACAATTTGCAACAATTCAATTCGGAGTAGCAATTCGGGACGGTCTGTTGTTAAAAACAATGTAATCTTCCTGTTGCACCTTGCATAAAGAAATGCTGGTTGATGTTGGCATTATTGGTTCTGGTCCAGCAGCGACATTTATACTTCACCGCAAATTGCAGCGTAGTCTTGGGCCATGACCTATGCAGCAGCCTTTGGTCCAGTAACAGTTTACTACAAAAGTATTGAAATGATACGCCAATTCTGGCACATACACAGATAATCTGTCCGTCAGTCAGCCGACATTGGCGGAAGACAGTCAGAGTCGGCTCAGAACTGACTGCTATCTGGCCTATTACATCAAGTGTGTATTATTTGGTACAATTTTGTGTGCATTCTGACCTGATGGTCACAAAGACCCACATGAGAGAAATTGTAGGTTATTTTGCATGTGTATATTTCTGCTGGACTATTCATTATCTTATTTTGCGGTCTTGCTTTGTCTTGTGTTGCACTTGCTTGATGTTTGAATGTGTTAGGAAAGTTGTTGTCAAGCTAGGCAACAAAGCTACAGGCTGCCAACTCTCACGGTTTCCCCGTGTGACACATATTTTTTGACGCACTCACCCCATACATCCAATTTTTTATGCTAAAATAAATCTGCGCTGGTTCATAACATCACACTAAATAACATCACACTCCAAAGTTTAGTGAAAAGTTTGCAGCTGTGTAGCAATCACAACATTACAAAGCAGTGACGCGAGAGCACTTAATACAAGCATCAATGTCCGAACTTGCTATAACAAGCTTGCTAACATCGCCAATGAGATGTCTTGCTAGTGTCAGATGCATGTAATGGTAAAATATGTTATAACATTGTCTTGTGCTAAAGTAGTGATTATTGTCTGTATTGAAGTGATGTGCACAAGCAGAAATAATTAAGGCCTCCATATGCAGCTGTGTCTGAAGAAGGGAGTTAACTTGCTCTCACACAGATGCTCGAACAAAGGAACTGTGTGTGTTACCCTCATCTTAACCGTGGTTCTTATCTCAACTTGGTTTGCAGCTTCTCGTACCTGGCACTGAGGATGGCCTTCATGGGTGTATAAAAACTCAGCGTTTTTACTGCTCGGAGACGCCCTTTACACAGAGCACTGTAAAACATGCTGGTGTATTCGACCTCCTGCTTGCAAGCAATAATTACAGCCAGATATATCTGCGGAGAATTGGTCATGTGATCTTTTTCTCTTCTAAATAAATGTTAACTTTTTGACTTTAATTGATCAACATGTTGCGATCCTTCTCATCAACCAACTCAGGGTGATTGGAGATCCTGACAATTTGGGGGCTCGTCCGGGATGAGACGTTTTCCTGCATAGGCGAATTCGATCCAAAACACTTTCACCTGTTGAACGCGACGTACTTCCAGGCCAGCCTCAAAACAAGGTAAGCAGAAACCTGTTACATCTAATTCTGCATATTGAATAAGCTAAAATAATTAGTACGTTGTGGATTGGTGGTGTAAGAGATAAATTGATACTTGAGCAATTCGCTAAAATAACATTGATGAGAAACTGATGGAACACCGCCGAGTATTGGAATGTGTACCGCAGAGTATGGGAAAAGTACTGCTAAAAAAATAAAAAGAATTACTGTTGTTTAGTGGGTACCTGCGAGTACCAAGGGATCGAGTGTCTGGCATAAATCAAAGGAATCGAAGGAGCGCTGAAGTTTGGAAATAAATAAATTAACTATGGTCTAGTGGAATCCTGCGAGTATCAAGGGATCTCAAATCCGGCATGAATAAAAGGAATTTATTTGGAGTCAATATCCTGGTCTTTGGTTTGGCAATCCCTTCAGACCCTGACGAGGGATGATTTTGCTAGGTTTGGTGCCCTGGGGATTTGAGGACCCCTGAAATACTGCGGGTCGGTGACCAAAGGTTAGAGTTCCTTAAAAACCGTGTTCGATTTCCTCAGACATAGTGCAGCCCTTGGAGAGGTGCTGGGAAACAGTAAATTAAGCAGCATGCTTCGGGAGTGTGGAGAGAGAGAGAGAGAGAGAGAGAGAGAGAGAGAGAGAGAGGATTGATCAAGTAAATAAAAAAAATGTTAACAAATGCACTTTAAGAAATACGTTTTGGAAGTACGTTCTAAGGAATTGAGAACGCAGACAGACCGCAAGGTTAAAACATAAACTTTAACGGCTATAATAAATGAGTGTGAGAGGTTAAAATAAACTCACAGATGCATTAACTCTGGAGGGTTAGTATAAACTTTCGGCTTGAATTAATTCTGCGAGACTAACATAAGCTTGCGGACTCAAACGTATTCTCTGAAAGGTTAGTATAAACTTTCAGAACATAGCTGTCTGCTCCGGTAAAATACATACGAACTGGTTGACTGCTGTTAAATGGAAGGTGAATTTGATCGAGAAACGGAGGACGGCGCCTTCAGCGCCGGGGTATCGAGTGGAGATACCACTGAGAAAAAGAAACATGATGTTGTGGATCACACGGGACACGCGGTGAGAAGGTTGTTAGAGGAGAAAGCCGTTGGTTTGGCAGATAGAGTGTCACTGAATCAGATATAGTGGGAGACAAAAACAAGTCCTTGAGTCAAAATGTGAGACGGTGAAGTGTGTGGAAAATAGAAACTGTACAAAGAAATTGAGAAAATAGAGGACATGAGGTCCGTATGGTTTTCATGTTGGATAAAAAGTAAAGCCGTGGACAGAAAAAAACAAGGACAAACACCTCCATGTGAGAGTGAAAAAAAGAGAGAGACAGATTCAGACAGAGCCACTTTCTAAGATCTCTGAGCTATTACTACAATTTTGATTTAACTAAAAGAGGTCAGCAATAAGTTACTAAGAACTGAATTACATTTAAAAAGTCTAAAAATAGTAGAATTGTAGACATGCATTGAAGAAAGAAAAAGAAGATTTAAAGTCTTTAAAGCAACAACGGCTAGAATAAGCGTAATAAATCTATAAAGCATTGAAGGGTTTTATGGGAGTAACAAGGTCACAGCAGTGAGAAGATGTGTGGGAGCAACGGTGGAGGCCAATAAGGCTGGACAAAGGTTTTATACCTCCTCACTTTGAGTAACTCAATCAAATTCAAGAAGCACACACACATATTGTTTGTAAAGTTAATCCTGAGTGCAATTATTTCTTAGTGATATAATTAAGTTTATGCATCTTTCTTGAATACCAAGATATATAAAGAATGAAGAGGATCAATTTTGCTTTTGTTTTTCAGCATAGAAGAATAAACTCTTTACTGGGATGTCAAAGGTCGGTCAAAATTTTTTGCATGAACAAGCGGATTGTAGAGCGGATTTTATCAACAGATTGATAGGACATTGCAAATTTTAGATTGGGTAAAGTACTAAGACTAAATAAGCTGTTCATACCACAAACCACAAATGCCCTGAACTACTTTCTTTTTAAGTGTAACACTTGAATCAAGGATTTAAAATATGATGAAAAATTATTAGAACAAATATAAATATACATGAAAACAAATGCAGCACAGCAACTATGTTTTGGGGAAAAAAACTGCTTGTTTATTTGGACGAAACATGGGTGAAACCCACAGGTCATCACCCAGGCACTGCGGGAGTGCAAAGGAAATGGATTAGACAGGCAGTACTGGAGGGTGTAAATGATCTAAAATGATCACTAACCCAGACTTGCCAGGTAGTGACTCTGCTTCGTTGGAGAGACATTTGCTACACCATTTACAAACAGAGGAAGTGACAGGAGGGGATAAACAGGTAAAGGAGCTGCAAGCTCAACTGCTGAAGCTGCAGCTCACTAAAATAAAGCAGGAAGTGAGCAACAAGAAGCAGAAAGGGAAAGACGAGGGACAGATGGTTGCACAGGCTGCCCCAGCTGGAGGTAAAGCCCCTGATTTGTATCCACTCCCACCATGGGAGAAGACGTCGTATGGGACAGCCCGAGGGTGGGGTTTAAACCAAGGGGGTGGTTACAGGGGAGGCTATGGAGGTAACTGCTGGGGAGGAGAGTGTCAAGGAGGTCCATATGCAGGGGGAGGAGGAAGATGGGGCCGCAAAGGGGGAAGAGCTTGTTTCCACTGTGGTATGGAGGGGCACCAGGTTAAGGAGTGTCCTAGTAAAAGAAGACAGGGGAGGGGCAGAGGTGTCCCACCCCAGGAAGCATGGGCTCCCAACTCACATGTTGCACATGCTAGAGGACAGTATCCCACACTGGAGGACTGGGGCTATGAGGCAGATGCCTCTCATACCCCTTTTCCACCAACCACCAACGATTCAGAGTTGGTTCAACTGACGAACCTCCAAAGAACCGGTTTGCTTTTCCACAGGCTGAAGAGCCAGCGCAGAGCCAAGTCCTACGTCACAGTTAGGTCTCATCTTTCCCAGCAATGTTAGCGCAGCGGCGCCAAACACAAACACATCATCAACAATAGCGGACGTTGATTTGCTATTGATGTTCATGGCTTTGCGGACCTACATCGACATCCAAACACGGCGGATCAAACATATTCTCGCGGCTCGCCTTTATTTGTACAGACGGAGATTACAAGCGAGAGTAACGGTATGTACAACATTTATTTTTAACAATAAGATGCCGACTTTAGCCTGAGATTCATATTTAGCCTTAGCATGTTGCTAACCTCCTAACATCGACTTAGCTGATAATCGATCGCATTGCGGTTAAACATTTTTTATTAAGCATTGGTTGAATAAGTATAACGACGCCATCGTACACTTGTATGTATGTCTGAGTCATAGGCAAAAACCACTCACAGTATTAAAACTAGAAAATCTGCTAACACCTGACCAGTACGTTGTCTGAAAAACACAATGCATGAACCTAAAAAGACAGAAAAAAACCTTATAAATAAAGTAGCCCTGTCTTTTAAGTGGTACTTTGAATTAATAAACGCTTCACAGCTACAGCTCAACTATTTATATAGTATTTATACAGCACTGTACACTTGATAGAAAATATACGTATACCCTATTGCCCATAGATGAAACGTATGTATTTTTTAAAATCTTTACAGGCAATCTTGCAGCTCAAGGCAAGGCGGAGGTCACCGCCTTGCCTTGACCACTCTTGACCAATCTGACCACTGGTGGGACACAATTGTTCCGGATTTCACCGCGTTACAATTCATGCAGAATTTCTGCGTATCCCCAGGATCATTTGAGTACATCTGCTGTCAGGTCAATCATGCCATATGGAGAAGAAACACAAACTACCCTTTGTGTGTCCCAATCCAAAAGCATGTGGCTATTGCCATCTGGAAACTGGCCACGGGTGTTGAATACAGGACAGTTATCTTTTTAGAGTAGGCCTCAGCACTGTATTTAATTGTGTTCAGGAATTCTGCAACACAGTGCTCATAGTGTTCCTTCCCATCCACATAAGATTTCCTGATGCTGAACAGTTGCTAGAAATGGCCACTTTCTTTAATAATTGTTGAAGAATTCCACAGTGTGTGGGTGCAATTGATGGCAGCCACATTCCAATAATTGCACCAGAGGACTATCCACGAGACTATTTCAATCATAAAGGCTGGCATTCTATTGTTCTGCAAGCAGTTGTGGATGGCAAAGGTCTATTCTGGGATGTTTGTGTTGGCTATCCAGGGAGTGTGCATGACGCCAGAGTGCTACGACAGTCACATTTGTGGGAGGCCTTAAGTGACGGGAAATTACTAAGGCAAAACAAAGTGTCTCTCTGGCTGTGATGTTGGACATTACCTGATCGGTGATCCGGCATATCCCATGCAGAATAGGCTCATGAAGCCCTTTTGCGACACTGGCAGACTGACCCCTGAACAGCACACATACAATTACAGGCTGAGCAGTGCACGATCGGTTGTGGAGATGTCTTTTGGGAGATTAAAAGGACAATGGTGATGCCTCCTAAAAAGAAACGACTGCGAGCTGGAACTGAGCAAGAGGATGGCACTGACCTGCTGTGTCCTCCATAACATTTGTGAGGAACATGGTGATAATTTCAGTGAAGAGCACCCAGACAGGACTCTAAACATAGAGCCTACTGCTCAGACAATACCTGAGCGGGCAAACACAGAAGGGGCTGACATCAGAGCTGCATTAATGATGCATTTTAACAGAGGAAACGAGTGATTCTTTGAATACACCAAAGCTATATTTGTTGCAATATTTTTGTAACACTGCAGTTTGTGTTTATTGAAATCAAAACTTTTGAATTGTATTACATTCTCATCCATTAAATGAACCATGTAATCTCTAAAACTTGCATTTTGTGAATCATTTATCAATCATCCTCAATAACAACCCTTTCACACTGGCCCGGTTTATTTAAACCAAAAATCTTATAAAAAAAATAAAGTTCTATAGGTAACAACAATTGTAAAAGAATTAAAAAAATTACATGAAAAGCGGCAAAATTATTTTTTAACTTGTGCCTCCAATACGGCCACCATGCGCCCCATGAGTCCAAGCAAGGATTGTGTGTCCGCTCTCATGTCCTGACACAAGGCATTATCCATTGCCTTGATGTGCTGCAGGAACCTCTCATCTGCTCTTTCCAGATATTGAAGGATTTCCGAGGTACCATCTCTCTTCATTTTTCCTGTGTAGAACAATAATAATAAAATATGAATACAGATCGTCAAGGTGTAGCATCGCAAATAGTTGTTTTCAGCAGAGAATTACGCATATGTATCTGCTGTATTGATTATATAAAACAAAATGTATAGCATCATACTACATCAATATCACTTCAGATTTTGCTCATGTCCCGTAATAAACAGTATATCAACATTATATAGTATATAGCAAGTTAATATCAGATCGACTTTATATTCTATTCTAAACTTTTATAAAAATAAGTTATTGCTTTGCGTTCAAGGTAATATAATTGAATTTTGACAAAGCATTTTGTATTGCTGTTATACATAAATATAAAACAATGTTTCAGTGCATGACAGTAATATACAATGTGTGTAGTATATATGTAATATATAAGATTATATATATATATTACAGACACATCTCAATGTTTGCATAGTGTATAGTGTGATAATTTGAACATACCCTGTTCTGAAGATGCTTCTCCAGAGCTGCTACACGACGGCACGGGAGAGCTGCAGCCCACCGGTGGCGGCAATGCAACGTTGTCTTCACGGCCGTTGATGGCAGACAGATCTAGAAAAATAAACACAAGACAACAGTGCTTTAACAGCTAAGAAACATGCAAAGATAAGAGCAAGTCAAATAAAAACTGAACTTACCGTGATCAGTGCAACTTTGCTGCGGCAAATCATCCAGCATTGACTCGAGCATTATTGTGGCCAAGTTCACCGCCCCGGTCACCTGGCATGCTGGCCTATCGCCGAGAACACAGTCGAGAACGTTGAAATGTGGATTTTGGCGTGGGCACCCATTGCCGCTTCGAGCGAGGTCCTTTTTTGGTCCCACAGTCTTTCTTTAGTTTTTTTAGTTTGTTTGTTATCTGGACGAGGTTCTGGTCAAAACCAGCTACAGCCATCTCTCTCTGAATCTGCTGCAAAACCGGTTTCGTCTGCGAAGCCCCATCTAACTTACTCTGGACTTCTGAAGAGGACCAGAGTGCAAGAAAGCAGCTTGTTTCCTCGTCTGACCAGTGCTGTTTTTGCCTAATAGCGTCCATTGTGTTGTTGTAAGCTCGATTAGCTGCTATCAAAAAATGGCGGATCACAAAGTTTATCTCATCTTGTTGGTCACGGTAACCCCGCCCCCAGCCGCTGACATAAGCGGTTCTTCTAGACCAGCAATGATATGGTGCTACTTAAGAACCATTTTACTGGTTCGGAGCTGGTGCTTTGGTGGTGGAAAACCAAAGAACCGATTTGAAAGTAGGCTCTGGCTCCGAACTAGCACCAGTTCTGCCTTGGTGGAAAAGGGGCCTGAGATCTTCCACATTTGAACAGCGTCCATAAACACTCCCTTCAGGTGAGGACTCCACATCTCCTTGGAGATGGGAGAAAGTCACCCGATGGAGATGTTAGCTACAAAACCAAAACAAATTCAAAAGTGCATTTGAAGGAATTGGAGGAATCTAGTGGTGAGGTTGCACACCACAACAAACCAAATCCCTCTCTGAATCCCTTACCGTCCCGTTTCAAACATAAGAAAATTCATCGAGGCTGAACACTGGTAGTGCTATGTTAAAACATTCATATAAATGAGTCTATTTTTTTGTTCCATTCATGTGTACAGTGAGGTAAATGTACGATTTGTAACCAAGCTGTTAGCATGGAGGTTCTTTCTACAATTATAATAGTCAGACATTCTCTCGCGGCACGGTGGCGTGGTGGTCAGCACTGTCGCCTCACAGCAAGAAGGTCCTGGGTTCGACTCTGTCCAGAGGCCTTTCTGTGTGGAGTCTGCATGTTCTCCCCGTGTCTGCGTGGGTTCTCTCCGGGTTCTCCGGCTTCCTCCCACAGTCCAAAGACATTCTCTGGGGATCAGGTTGATTGGGGACTCTAAATTGCCCATAGGTGTATGAATGTGAGTGTGAATGGTTGTATGTCTCTGTGTTAGTCATGCGATTGGCTGGCGACCAGTCCAGGACATACCCTGTCTATCGTCCGAAGTTGGCTGGGATGGACTCCAGCCCCCCCGCGACCCTGAGTGCAGGATAAGCGGTTTGACAATGGATGGATGGATGGAGACATTCTCTTTGCCCACTTTTTTGCATATCCCTTAGGTGTGACTACGTCTGTCTCTCCCATCCGGCCAAATAAAAGATCAATTGACAGGCGTGGATGATGTCCATAAAGCAAATAGTAGGATGAGTACCCAGTACAATTGGACGCATGTACAATTTGAGGGAGATGGTCCTTCCAGCGATCTTTCTCCTTGTCTGTCAGCGTTTGCAACATTTGTAATAAGGTGTGGTTAATCCTCTCGGCTGGGTTACCCTGTGGATGGTATGGCGATGTTCTGGAATGACCAACCCCTGACAACTTCTGAAGTGTCCAAAACTTCTCGTTTTCAAACTCACAGCCCTGATCGTGGTGTAGTTTTGACGGGTAGCCAAACCTTGGTATGAAGTCATTATATATGCGCTCTGCCTCCGTCTGTCCAGATTTGTTTTTTGTGTGTAGGCTTGAGTGAATCGTGTGAAATTATCAATCACTAGTAAGTATTGGTAGCCGCCTCGACTGGTCTCAAGATGTAAGTAGTCAATACATACAAGCTCCAATGGGGATCTAGTAGGTATACTACCCATTGCAGCACGCGTCTGGGTGCCAGGTTTCTTTGGGCACTTTCGAGTGACGTAGTCTTCTATCTCTCTTCATATAAGGCCAATAAAACTGTTCCCTAGCCAGGCGTAACACCCTCCCAGTTCCCACATGCCCCATCTCGTTGTGAAGATGTTTGAATGCCACATGCTTGTATTTTAACTGCAAGACGAGCTGCTGTCTTTCATCAGTCCGTCTGTACAGGAGCCCATTTTCCAGGTGCAGTTTGTTCCACTCATATAAGAGCTTTCTGGTGAGTGATTTGCTGCTTTTCGTGTCTCATAGGGTCTTCTCCCTGTGCTCGAACAAGTTCATTGTGAGTAATTGTTGGCAGGAGTGCACGCGACTCTTGGCTTGTGTTGTTAAAGAGCAGATATGCAAAGCAGCAATCCAACCAACATCCTTATTTTTGTCAAACAACAATGAAATATCAATAGTTATCTGCCATCCTTCGCCTCTGCATTGGAAGAAGGAACTAATACCAATTAGTGTTGCATGGTGTACCAGTACTAGAAAGGTACCGCGGTACCGTTACGTTGAAAACAATACGTTATTGAAAATGTTTAGTACCGGTACTTTATAATAAACACGCATTCAGAGCGCACTCACTGTTCCACTCCCTGTCAGGCTGCTTGCAACAGCAGCCGTCACTCACAGTGAGTTATCAGGGGAGACGCGCCCTCATGTAGCAGATATGTGATATAAAGCCCATCGACACACACAGACCCGTCTGTAAAACCTGCTTCAAATCCACCCGGGCAAAGGGAGGGTATACTTCAAATATGGCCAAGCACCTATCAGACAGACACCCCAAACTTTTCAGAGAGTTCAAAGAACGACAGGTTAGCAAATGTTATTATAAAGATAAACACCCCCAAGCTCACCCTATACTGCCTGACACGAGTAGCTTTAGCCTGGTTTAGCTCGGGTGACTAGATGTCCTCTTTTACCCGGACACATTTTTATGTCTCAAAAAAGGAAATTTCCGGGTAAAAGAGGATGTCTGCTTTGTCATGTGTTGCGCTTTCTTGATGTTTGACTGTGTTTGGAAAATTGTTGAATTGCTAGTTTGTCATAAACAAAGTCGCTAGCAAGACATCTCGTTAGCGATGTGAGCTTGTTATAAAACGCTTTGATGGACATTGATGCTATTATTAAGTGCTCTTGCGTCGGCTTCTTTGTAATGTTGTGATCGTTACACATCTGCCAACTTTTCACTAAACCTTGGAATGTGATGTTGTTGGGTGAACGCTGCGGCGAGGGGTTGTAAGTGCAGCAAATAGCATTACAGATGCGCCGTTTACCGTCGGCGAGGTTGGAGATGAACCAGCACGGATTTATTTTAGTGTAAGAAATTGGATGTGTGGTGTGAGTGCACGTGAAAACATGCAAACGGGTGTGTCACACGAGGAAACCGTGCAAGCTGACAGCCCTGTAGCTATGTTGGCTAGCTTGACAACAACTCCTAACACAGTCAAACATCAAGCAAGTGCAACACAAGACGAAGCAAGACGGCAAATAAGTTACTGAATAGTCCAGCAGAAATATACACATGCAAAATAACCTACAATTTGTGGGCCTATATGATCATGAGGTCAGAATGCACACAAATTTGTACCAAATAATACACACTTGATGCAATAGGCTACATGCTGGTGGAGACTGAGGGTGGATCTTCATCTAATTAGGGTCTTAGCTGACTGAAAGTTATTGTGTTTCGAAGAATTATTCTTATTATTTTACCGATTCAATTGCACTTTTGAGGCCTTTATTATATTCCAAAACTGTTGAAATTTTGCATGCGCATCAGAAGTGCGAAATTTTTTTATATTTTAGGGGTCGCGCATTTGGGTTCGACAAAATGGCTCTCTAGCGAACCACTGGGCCTTGCATTGTTGGACTGACCGCAGAACCAGAGATATTCTCTTTTTAATTCCACGCCGACATTACCCACACATACACGTGTTATGCTAGTAGCACCTAATGTAGCCTCCACTGCTGGCCTAAAAAGTAGATTAGGAATTTACCTCTTTGTTAATTTAACACCCATGTTTTTGAACCTTTCAGTCACTCATATATATTAAAAAAACATTAACATTAGTTATAATAGCTTCCAACCACTTGTACCAAACTCAATGTTTGAACTTTTAAAAGTTCTCCATAGTGGAATAATGCCAGCCTGAGCAGAGAATGGTGTTGCTGTCCCCCAGCGTTTTAATCCCAGTTTCTTTGTGCTTTCTGTTCATAGCTGGCCCAGCCACCGTGGACTTCAGTGCACGTGAGCGAGCCACCGGCCAGCCAACAGCCACTTCTCTGCACTGCGCTAATATGGCTGTTACAGTTGATAACGCGGCCCCGAGCCGCGTGGAGGCAATAGATATGCTCTGAATTTCAGCGTTTTTAGCTGTAATCCAGAGCCTTTCTATCACATAGATTTTTTTGTAAATAAAAAAGACATTCCAGTTGTGTTTACCTGATGAGTTGCAAAGAACATTTTCTTCCCTGAAGTGAGTTTTGCGATTTCAATTACATTGCTTACACAGGAAAGGCAGTGAAAGTAATTCAAGTTCTGTCTCATTCATCTGGCCAAGCTCGCCACATTGCTGTCAGAAGTGGGATATAGCTACTGGAATGCAGATGGAGATGGAGATTGAAGAGCTGGAGAGGGCCCTAGAGCAGACCCAGGGCCACTTGAGAGGCCTGATGCGGAAAAATCCAATCAAGCCAAGGACATCAGTCAAACTACCCAAATACGATGGGACGACACAGCTGGAGCCATATTTGTCATAAGTCATCTAACAGCCCAACACAGCGGCTGGGACAGCGAAGAGGCTGCCACCCATCTAGCCCTAGCATTAGGAGGCAAGGCGGTGCAGGTGCTTTGTGACCTAGCTCCAGCAGGACAAGGGAACCTACAGGCCCTAACAATGGCGTTAAACAGGAGATTTGGACAGCGGCTCCTTGCTGACCAGAGCAGGGAGGAACTAACCAGCCGCCGCCATGGAGAAGAAAGTTTGGGCACCTTCGCAGCAGATGTGCAGCTACACGCTCGACTGGGTTACCCGCAGCAGCGCAAGAAGAACTAGCTCTCCACGCTTTCCTGAGAGGACTTGAGCAGTTGCGTCAGCATGTTGCTCGTCAGACCCCAGACCCTCGGTGATGCACTCCACGAGGCTGAACGAGCAGAGGGAGTACTCACCGCATGGCCCAGCCAGAAAAGAACTCTCCACCAACAGCCATGTGTCAGGCTTACCGATTATGACCAGGAAGAAGAAGCAGAAGAGGTCCGTCAGGTGAGGCCTCCACCACAACGGATGCAGCCCTGGCCTCCAGCACCCAGGCGGCGTCCCCCCCAGCCTACTGACCGCTGCTATCGTTGTGACGAACCGGGTCACATAGCCATAAATTTCCCAGCCCCAACTCCGAAACCCAGAGCCACTCCACCAGCGGGAAACGACAGAGGAATGGTGTAGCGAGGGGTGCACCATTCCGGCCTCCAGTCCCCCTCCATGGCCGATGCACTTCGAGGCTGGGGCCCAGGAGCTGGTGCACAAGTTCTGGCTTGCTGACATTCGGGACCCATGTATCATCGGCTTGGACCTGCTGACTCGCTGGGGTGCCTGTGTCAACGTGTTAGGAGCAACCATCACCCTTGCATACAGCAATTGTGGAGCTCCAGTCCGGGAGGGCCGCACCACCACCCGTGCCGTCTGTCGCCAGTGATCCTGCACATCCACAGGTCACCTTGGCTGCCTCCATTGCACCAGCTGTCTCTTCCTCTAGTGAGACGGTGGAAGCCGTCCGTGATTTATGGGAGCGCAGCAGTGCTGGTCTGGACCCGGAACAGCAGCATCAGTTGAAGTGCCTTCTGTGCCATTATACGGACATATTTGCGGCAAAAGACAAAGACTGCACGCATGAATAGAGATATATTTTTCTCTATCCACTCACTCTGTATCTGTATCCCCTGCCTGCTCCTCAGATAGGAGCTTCACCCGTCACATCCAACTGCCCACGTAATAATGACGGATTCTGTTAGTGAACGTTTGCCTCTGCCTATCCGCGCGCCCACTGTGCTGGATTTGAGTGTGCCAGTCTGGGGCCTGGCGCTAACG